TGTTCTAATCTGGTAGATCCATACCCCAGAACTCTGATGAGCACTTGGCAGGGCGCATATAAGAACAGAGTTGAGAGGGGTGAAGTTGGATCCTGATCCTTCATCCTTCCAGCATCCAAGAGTATCAGTAATCAACACTACCTCTGTAAATTTTCCTGTAGCTGATTATGATAGCTAATAAAGGTCAGACCGTTCGGACTGGAAACCGTCCAAACCAATTCTCTTTCACCCTTAATTTGTTCTTTGGCTAAAAACTGTTGATTTGGTCAGCGATTCGCTGTGGTTGAACTATTCAACCCAGACCAGATGGTCAAACTGCTGACCCAGAAATCAGTGGCCAAAAGGTTTCAGTTCTGGGTTGATTTTTAAAATATTGACTAAAACTAGAGGAGTGCTCCACATATGGTACAAAATATAGACTCAGTTTGAAAAGAGTACAAATGCAAATATGTAGAATGCAAAGCCTTATATTTTGTATGTATTTGCACTGTASATATTTGCATTTGTACTCCTTCCAAACTAAGTAAGGACAAAATTGTAACATTTTAGGAGTATATTTCTTTTCAGCTCGCCTCCTTTTTGGGTTTTATGTGAAACCAAGAAAAATAAATGACCTTCACAGTTTGGATCCCCAAGGCGTGCTAAGTTGTACAATAACCAATGAGAATTTAACAAAATTCATGGGATGGTTTTGATTAGAGAGATTCTCAAAACGTAAGATCTTCCAATATCATAACCACCCACTATCACAGTCCTGATCTCCAATATCATAACCCCCCAGTCCGGCGTCCTTGTACTATGACCATGAGATAAAAACCCGCTTTCGTTAAAATCCGCAGTTACAATATTTTTTAATTCCCATATTACCTTTATAGACAATTGGGAGAAAAATACTGTTCATCTTCCTCAACCTCACGATACAACAGCGACAGGTAATCCACAATTTTCTCTCTCACCGATCTCTCTCTCCCCCCGATCTCTCTTCTTCCTCTTTCATTTCCCCTTACTTCATCTTGTTTTCCTTTTTCTTTTCGCTGGAATTGGGAGATAGACTGTGGTGTAGGTGATGGGGCAGCAGTGATTTGGTTTTGGGAGAGTACTTTCTAAACGAAATTGGTCTAAAAAAATTTCAAACAATAATTTACTTGTTTGATCTGAAATTTTCTCTAAACGAAAACAATATATTAATCACTATACAAGCTGCACATGCACCATATGTACGCATTCTATAAATTCAAACCTTCTTTTGCTCTGTGTTGTCATTTCTGGTTCTGAATCATCACCAAGTTTTGAAGATGACGTCTCTCTGCAGCAACACCTGTTCAGTACTCTCTCTTTCCATCTCTATCTCCTCTTAGTTTCATTTCTCTCCCATCTCTCACCCTCTTCTCTTCTGTTCATTGCAATCCGCATGATAAAAGGTCCTTCTGAGGATCAAGAAATCTATAAACAATTCCAACGCCCTTGTCTCCTGGGATCCCGAAATCGATTCCTGTGATTGGGACTACGTCATCTGCAACCCTCAAACCTACCGAGTTACCCAACTCGCCTTCTTCCGAGCCTACATCCCCAGTCAAATTCCATCCGCCATCAGTGACCTTCCCTATCTTGAAACCCTCTCCTTCGATGAAGTCACCCAGCTCAACGGTTCCATCCCCTACTCCATCACCAAACTTCGGAACCTCAATTTGTTTCGTCTCAACCGGATTCCGTTCTCCGGCCCCATCCCTTAATTCCTCGGCCAACTCAAGAACCTGGACTACCTTGATTTGGGTTACAACCATTTCTTTGGTCCAATCCCAGCTTCCCTCGGTGATCTCCCAAAACTAGAAAATCTTTACCTCAACCGAAAAAACCTCACAGGAAAAATACCAGATTATGTAGAATCTGCTACATTTGGGTTTTGGAGAGGAAGAAATGTGGATTACCGCCGCTGCTGTTTGTGGATCTGAGGTAGGGGAAGATGAACTGTGTTTTTTGGAAGGGTAGTGTGGGGATTAAAAAATATTGCAAGATTTTTATCTCATGACAGGGGGTTTTGTCGCAAAACAAAGTACAGGGGGTTTTTGTAATTTACCCAAGAAAAACCCTAGATGCTATGTTATACACAAATCTCACTTTTGAAAGTCTAAGCAATCCAATGTTCAAGGTAACAATATGATATGCGTCATATCGTGTTTAAGGGTAGGGCTAAGGTTTAAAATTTTGATATGATATGCTCAATACGGGATGTATTATATCGTATCTTTTAAAAACCGATATAGGATATGCATGGAAATCGGACATCTCATCTTTTTTTCATGCGTATCGGGGGTGTATCATGGGTGTATCGAGGCATATTTGGGCGTATCGGGGGTGTATCAGGGCGTATCGGTAGCATATCAACGAAAAAAATATGACCAAAAACTAAAAAAAAATTAAAGGGGGAAAGCAAGTTTCTTTTCCCCGAAAAAAGCCTTCTTTCACCCCCAAATGATTCTAAAACTCCAAACTTCATTCTTAGAGTGATAAATTTGCAAAATTTTGCAAGAAACAAAGTGTGAATCGTTATTTTTTTTAAAGATTTTTCAAATTTTGAAAAAATATGGCAAAAATAGGTAAAATTTTCAATCTTTTATAATATCTTGTGATTTTGTTTTTCTTAAATGTTTAAATTTGTATTGATTTACATTTTTTACATTCAAAATCACAATTTTTTTGTACTATCAGTAGATTTATGGAAATTTCATGAAGATATTTGGGGAAAATATAAATTAACAAAAAAATTAAAAATATAAGTTTTTTCTTTGCCTATAAAGACTAAATATATTTTAGATCTATGGATTTATCTATCATATCCATAGAGCAATTGAAATTTCTTCTTTAATATATGTTTTTTATTTTTTATATTTTTAGAATTTAAAAAATTAATAATATTTAATTATATTTTATCATTTAATCATAACAATTGAATATAATTATACAGATGATCTATTATATCCATAGACCAATTGAAATCTCTTATTTTAGTAATTATTTTTTATTTTTTTTAGAATTAAAAAATAAATAAATAAATAACTATATTTTATCATTGATCACAATGATTGAATATATTATAATTCTATAGATGATCTATTATCCACAATTGAAATTTTTTAATAACTATTTTTTGAATATATCATATAATGTTTATTTATTTTTTATAATTTTTGAAAATGAATAATAAATAATAATTATTTAAATAACAAATAATTATTGATTATACTTTCACATAGAAGTTGTGCCAATGCATGTTTTATGGTTGGATAAGAGAATTGGGTTTTTCTCATCCCATAAAACATTAAAAATTAAGAATTATAATTTATAAATTATAGTTAAGCATAGGATTTGTAATGAAATTATAATTAGCTATAATATATTTCTTCATAAAACCATTAAAATATATTAATTTAATGTATATACACCTAATTGAGGTCTTATATTTAGTGTTATTGATGTATTTTTATAATTTATTAAAGTATTTATATTATTTCCAAGCGTATCTATGTATATCTTAGCTTTTCTCCGATACATATGCGTATCCAAAGCGTATCCTGATACATATCTTAAAATTGTCTTTCCGATACACTTGGCGTTTCCGATACTTTGAATCTTGCCCTTATCTAAGAGTCACCAATATGGATACATTTATATGATGATACCGGGGGATTTGAATATTTTAAAGCATTAAAGCACGATGTGGTAAGACCGCAAAAATGCCAGACTAAAAAGTTAAAAGAAAAATAATAATGATAATTTGGATAAAACTGAAACTTCCATATACACACAACTTGTGTATTGAGTAGCGATACTTTAAACCATGGACCAATCAAAACCACCCTCGAGAATTTTGATGACATCTCATTTGTTATTGCGCAACTTAACACAAAGCCTGAGTAGGATATTTGGACTCTAAAACTTGCCACCTGGATGTTGCATGTAAAATTGCTGTGAAAAATGAAAGTTCTCAAAAAAGCATGAAGTTGGTCCTCACCTTGCAAAGCTTGATATTTCTCTTTACCATAGATACATGGTCCAACCCATTCTGACAAAAAAATTAAAAATTAAAAAACAGTCAAAATCATTCGAACGGTTTGAATAATTAGTCAACCGATTCAGTGGTTTACTGACCAAAATCAACAGTTTTAGAGGAAAACGGAACCGATCACCTCTGACCATCCAGTCCGATCAAATTTTGAAAACCATGCTTTCAACATTGAGGCTTATAATAATTAGAAAGGCTGAAATCAACCCATAATACTGAAGCTACAAAGACTTTTAAGCTGGAAAGTGTGGATCGTGATTAACCATATAAGCTTGAACCCATGACTACTCGTTGCAAGGGATGCCTTAAGACCAACACGAGTACGAGTAAATACGTAGATGATGAGATTAATTAAGAATGACAATAGATAAACTGGTTTTGTATTGACAAGATAGTAACATATCTTTTATTAAATCAACCAACTAGGAGCAGAAACATCGATTAAAAGCATTACTATAAGTTGGTTGCTGCAATTTGTTTTGTATCATTTGATACAATACAAACTATTATCATTACACTTGTGAAAACAAAATTTATGTGCACTCCCCCCCCCAAGTTAGATATCCCTGATGTTTTCCAAACGTATTCCGACAACTCTCTAGAATGGTGACTTTCATTCTTGGTCTGTTATGGCACCACCGATGATTCAGGAGCAGCTGAATCAAGGTAAAGCCTCCATTTTCCTCATCAGAGGTTAGGGATGAAGGAATTCCAAATTTTCCATACAAGTTAAGACAAAGCACACCGCATACCAAATACAAGTAAACAAGTACCTACATAGGCAGGGAAATGAACACAATTGATTCACCGAAGAAAAACTTGAGCAGGGAAAAGAATGGGCTTTAGCTGTTGGTTCTCCGTTTTCGGCTAGCTGCAGTATACAAAAGAAAGCAGGAGGAGGCATCGCTTAGGTCGACATTTGGAACTTTGGATGGTCTTGAAACAAATAGCCTTATCAATATAATTGATTCGCCGGAAATCAATTACAGCTTTCTAGTAGTTGTAGCAGTTGATAATAGAGAGAAAGAAAACAAAGGGAAAAGACAACATTTTACCAAAGGGGGATAAAACTAATTGTTAAATGTTCAATAATTTCTACCAAAAAAAACAAAGGGAAAGGACAACATTTTACCAAAGAAAAATAATTAACAAAACTGGAAATGGTCCATTGTCTTGTATACTGAGCAAACTTGACCTTTGAAAGCTAAAAGGAAAGATGTGAGGAAAACAAACGAAAGGCAACTCTCTTCCATATAGGTCCTTGTTAACGCCCATTGAACTTCTCTCCTAACGGTTGGCCTTGGCAACACGTTCAATCTCATCTTTCTTCTTGATGGCATAGCTGCAAAACAGAGGCAAAACAAAGGTAAACAAAAAGAGCAAAAACGAACAAGATACTTCTGGCCTGTCTGCTTAATGTCAATATGAAAAAAGGGGGGAAAAGAAATACAATTACAAAGGAAAGAAGGAAATTAGCAAACAAGTCCTTAAATCATAAATGTCAATACCCACATAACACCGTGTAATTTGAGCAAAATCCACCGTTTCTTTTTTGTCCTAGGATTTCACAGTATGGTTAAGGTAAGGTTCGGGGTGCAAACAGGGCTTAAAAAAGATCAATACCTGTTGGATGACCCCTTGGCAGCATTTATAAGTTCATCTGCCAAGCATTCAGCTATGGTCTTGATGTTCCTGAAAGCACTCTCTCGGGCACCAGTTGTAAGAAGGTATATTGCTTGGTTAACACGCCTCAAAGGAGAGATATCAACAGCTTGACGCCTCACAACACCAGCAGAACCAATACGAGTTGCATCTTCTCTTGGCCCACTATATTATTAACCGAAAGAAAAGCAATGAGATGTAACAAAAAAAAAATTATATTAATAGAAACAAAGAGATTTCTTGCTTGTGTACCTGTTGATTATAGCATCAACAATCACTTGAATAGGGTTTTGATCTGTGAGGAGATGGATTATTTCCATAGCATGCTTGACGATGCGGACAGCCATGAGCTTCTTCCCATTGTTCCGCCCGTGCATCATCAGGGAATTGGTCAATCTCTCTACAATGGGGCACTGAGCTTTCCTGAACCTCTTGACAGAGTACCTCCCTGCTGTGTGTGGGACATAAGTTGCATGCTTGTTGGGAGATATACCAATGTAATCCACCAAAGATATGTCACCAACCTGCATGAAACCACAAGTTTATAATTGTTGCAAAGAATTTTTTCAAAACAAATTGTTGTAACAATTGAAAAGAATACTTGCGACAACTGAAGGTGTAGATCACAATATGTCATCGCAAATATGACAATATTCTCTATATTGAACAGTAAAAGAATATGCCAAGTATACTATAGTATGATACACAACAAAACCACACTGCATGGACCAGCCAAGAATGCATATTTCCAATCAAAGATTCATTGTAGGAATTGTGTTTGATCATTACCAAACTAGGAAACTTGTAGTAAAATCGTGAGTAGGGTAAGTACGATAGAAACAAAGATATATTTTCATTGGAGTATATTCTCAGACACAAGGATCGCCTACCCCATATACACGCAAATCCCTTCAGTCTACACAGAAAATGCATCCCCTCAAAATACTCCAACAAAGAAACTTCACTGAAGGATCAAAGTGGAAACATTGACATACCATCTGTCTTCTTGAAAGAAGATAACTTCCAATTAAATCATGGAAAAGGAAGAACCAATGGGTCATCAAAAGCAAATAGCCATCCAGAGCCTACTTCTACTTCTGACAACATTATCACCAAGCTATGTAAAACCCTTCTCCAACTTCCCACAAAACTAAAAACAAATTAGTACCAGCCCTAGACTACGCATCACAAGATCGTCTTTTATCTAATCCAATTTATTGACTCTATTACAACATGACCGGGTTAAAAAAAAATAACAAAATCGTTTGTTCTTTCCTGAAAACAAAAAAATATGCAAACATTTTTGGATTGTTTATGACGACATTAAAAGCTGAACTCCTTACACATGCATAATAATTACTACATAATTTCTAAAGAACTCTGAACTCAAGAATACTATCTAATGAAACATATGCATTATCATCATCAATAACTGCAATTGGAGAAAAAGGGGAAATAGATATTGAAAATATTAAACTAGTTTTATGATAAACAAATCTATAAACTTGCGAGACGGTCTTCCGGGAATAAACCCAATTTCCCCCAACGACTACAACTCCTGATCCAGCCGAATCTTAGCGTTGACAGAGTAGGCATCGCTTATAGACATTAGGTCGTCCACGACAACAGATCAACGATTGAAATAATGAAAAGGCAAGCGACATTGATGGCAATCCCAACAACAGTAGTAGTAACTTGAGGATAAAAGAACAGACCTGAACATCATCGAAGGACCATCTGTTGAAGAGTTTCACCTCTGGTTGAGCGACGATCGCCATGGCTGCAGAGTGCAGATGCGGAGCTTCTCTCGAGTCTTGAGTTCTCTAAAACCCTAAAAGCGCCCGCTTAGAGAGTAGAGACGATGGAAAACGGAAGCTCGACTTTTATATTGTGAGGGACAAACTAATATCGCGATGTCGCCAGCCCTCTGATGATGTACTCCTAACGATCCAGAAATCGCGAGCCCTCTGATGATTAAATCTGCTATCGTAAATCGTTCTAAAATAAGTCTCATCCGAGGGATCAAGCCGTTCAAATCTGATGGTCTATTTGATGCGATATAGCTATGATGTACACGATATGCTTAACCGAAACCCTAGTCTCTTAGGAGTAATGACTATCCGACTATGAGAACATCGCGAGGCTGGGATGGGCTGGGCCGGGCCGGGCCTAGTATTTTTTGCTTTGCAGTTACCCTGCATTGAATGAATTAGTGGCAGGCCCATTATTATGTACAAGTGGTGTTGGCGTGGATGCGTATGTGTCTGTGTTGATGGCTAATATGTACTTTAGTAGTGCAGGAAAAGTGTAGATTTTGCTTTGTTTTTACGGGTTTTATTTTACTTTGTTTCAAGTTTTACTTCAATTGCAGTTCAAACAAACAACACGAAAATACGAAATGGTGAAACCTAAAACAATAGTTTGCACTCACATGCTTTTGCACCAGCGCAAATCAAATTGCAGTCGCAACAAACCAAGTTCAGTTTATAAATTTTAGGCTAAGTTTGGGTGTGCTTAAAGACAAGTGCTTATTGGGTCGGGATCACACTAATAAACTCTTATTAACGTTTGGGAAATAAGCCTGATATAAGTGGTTATTATGAGAATAAGCACTTGTTTTAGAATCTAAAATTTGGACTTATTTTAAGTGTTTATTTCCTTTTTTGGCTTATCTTGGCCTGCCACATCATTTTAAAAGGCCTATACTACCTCTGTTTAAAATAAATGTTTTTAACCAAACGTTCATAAGTACTTATTAGAACAAACATTTATTTTTCAAATAAGCACTTCCAAGTTGGCCTTAGGGCTGTAAAATGGTATCCCTTGATCCAAATTCAAAATCCAATTAAAATGAACCATATTTGACCCATTTATAGTTGGATTAAATATTGGTTCACCCTAATTATGGAGTGATGAGCTCAGATTTGGAATGGGTTATTTTCAAGTTATTTATTCATGATATATAATATTTTAATCATCTTTAGTTAATAGATTGATGAAATTTAATATCCAAAATCTTTTTGTTTCGGTATTAGGGGTGCACGTTGGGTGGGCTAGGTGGCTCAACCTAGGCCCAACTCTAAGAATTGGGTCTAAGGTAGGGGTGTAATTGAGTTGAGTTGAACCAGGTAGTAGGGTGCTCAAGCTCAAGCTCCACTCAAAAACTTAGAACTCGAAACTCGATTTGAGCTCAATTGAGTTTCAAGTTTCTAGCTCGAACTCGATTTGAGTTAATACTTGTGAGCTACTTGATCTCGACTCAACTTGAATCAATTATTAAAAATAAATAAACTAATATTAAACATATTAAAAATAAAAATATATTATAAAAATCCATTATAAATTTATTTATTTATAGGATAAATTGTTGAAACCTCCCCTGAAGTTTGGTATTTGTAATAACCTCCCCTAGACCCCCTTTGTCAAAATCCTCTAACATAAAGCATGAAATGTCTAAAACACCCACATAGTTACTATTGAGGCTGGTTTCTATAAAAAACAATACAAACTTTATGAACAACAAAAAAGGAAAATTCAAGTGTTTAAAGTTGAAGCTTTACCTTTGAGGAATTGATATGAAAGGCAAATTTGGAAAATATTGGATAATAGATTGGAATGGTTTGGGGTAACGATTGATATGAAGAGAAAAGAATGGAAAATAAACACTTTGGTCACAAGTAAATTACATGGGTATTTTGGAGGTGATTGCAACTGTATTAAAAAGTTCAAGGAGGTGATTGCAATTACCAAACTTCAGGGGAAGTTTCAACAATTTACCCTTATTTATATTATAATAAGTGTTTATTATATTATAAATGCAAAAGTATTAAAAATAGTATTTTATTGTGAATTCAATTAGGCTTGTAAACCACTTGAACTGGGTATTGTAAATCTCAAACTCGGCTCAACCAACTACTCAACTTAAACTTGATTATTTTGAGTCGAGTTCAAATATTTAGCTAGGTGAGCCCAAGTAGCTCCTCCTGAGTATGGCTTGGCTCACTTACACTCCTCACCTAATGCCCCAAACTGTCCAACTTGAGCTTAACCTGCATTAAAATTTGATGCACTTGGGTTAAACTTGGCTTAATTCATTAACCTACACTAAAAATTAATATTAATGTATGTTTAAATGTACGGCAGGGTTTGGGCCACCTAAGGAGGTCATGGGCTTGACAATGGATGAAGACGAAGCTGGGTAGATTACTAAAATCTTTGAATATTTTATTATTTAATCATTTAATTACTAAATGACAAAGCAATATGTCATTAAGTTTAACACCTTTAGCCATTATCAAGCAGCTCCTTAGTTATTGCTTATTTATATCCGCACAGCCAGTCACCGAAGTGCAAGCAGTCAGCCGTTGGAGTTGAGGTCGAGTGCAAGTAGTCACCGAGGTCACCTGTAGTCTCCTTTTTTCAGTCACCGTCTGTTCGATCGTCGGAGATACCAGGTTTGTATTCTTCAAGCATTCTGAGTTTTTTTTTTTTTTTTTGTTCTTTTTTGTTTTGATCGAATAGTGTGATGTTTGTTCTGTTTTGGTGGAGATACCAGTCTCGGTTTTGAACAGAGGATGTGAAACTGTTAAAACTTTCATACCCCAAATGCTCATCCAAACAGTGGGTCTGGTCTTCTCCCAGGTTAAAACCTGATTCAGATTCCTCTACATAAATCCCATGTGCACAGATAGGAAGGATAACTATTCTTCTCATCCTTCCATATACTCCTGATYAATTAAGCAATGGACCTTACCCAAGAAAGAAATGATGGCAGAGAAGAAGCAACAAATTAATGGTTTCATGACTTTGATTTCAATGCTAGTATATACGAATTAATTCAAGTTTGGGCGTTTAGTTTAGTTGGTTGCTTTAACTTCAGAAAGCAACAACCTGTTTGAGAGCTAGCTCTCTCCATCCTAACAGCTTACTTGAGTCAAAAGTCAAAACCCACTTATCTTCCTCTATAAAAGACTGAAATCCAATGAGAGAATGCCAAATAGAAGCTACCATAATTCATAAAGCTGGGTCTGAAAATAATACTGAAATTTAATTACCTGTGATAAAGTTAATAAAAATTCAAGGTTTATATTTTTACATTTTTCTTGAATTTATATTTATATTTATATTTATATTTATATTTAGATTTATGTTGATGTTTATATATACTTTATATAAATATAAATATATATTTATATATGTACATATATTCTTTTTTTCCATGCAATTCATTCAATTTTGCTGATTTTCATACTTTGTTCTATATGTTTACATTTGTCTAGAATTTATATTTATATTTATATTTATGTTTATGTTTATGTTTATGTTTATGTTTATGTTTGTGTTTATGCTTATATAATATAAATATATATTTATACTTATATATATAGTCTGTTTTTTCCATGCAATTCATTCAATTTTGCTGATTTTCATGATTTGTTCTATATTTTTACATTTGTCTAKAATTTATATTTATATTTATGTTTATATATTTGTATAAATATAAATATTTATATATATATTCTGTTTTTTTCATGAAATTTCATTCAATTTTGCTGATTTTCATACTTTGTTCTATATTTTTACATTTGTCTATAATTTATATTTATATTAATGTATGAGTTTTTTGGTTTTTTTCCATGTAATTTTTTACATAGTAGAAGCACTATATAATAGGTAACAGTGCAGAAAACGTTTCGTGGAACATTGGTACCAAACAGAAAAGTGGTTGTTGCTCCTGGAAATATCCTACCTAGTAACAACGGTTCCAAACAAAAAAAAAAGCATTGTTTTATGAGAAAACGGTACTCCAAGCCACACTTAAGCAGCACTGCTACAACTGTAGCATCAATGCCAAACATATACTTAGTAAATTTCTAAAACTAAAGGGGTTTTAGTAAATGACCTAATAAAAATGTTATACACTATGATGATACATAGTAAATATTATGATACTTTTGTAACAAAGCTGACCATAAGATAATTGCTTATGCTTGCCCTATTTCTCATGGTCATGTTGTTCATGGTGGGTTTCACATTCATAAATGTTAGGATTAAATACTTAAAAGTACCCCTAGTTTTTTTTTTTTTTTGAAATCGACTAATTATACACCTAGAGTTTGAAAAATTATTTAAATTACCCCCAAGTTTTTGCCAATAGGACATCACCGGCAAGTATGGATGGAGATATTGAAATGTTTATTTTACCCTTTATTATTCTTCAAATTTTCAAGACATCTTTCACATAATAAAATTCCCCTCCCCACCTTTCTTCTCATGTATATATGCCAAGAGACAACCTCCACTCACGAGCTTAATGCATGGGAAGGATTTTTTTTTTTTTCCATTCAAAAACGGCCTAAATCCAAATCCAATGCCAATCTTTGAAGTCAATTTTCTAATAAGAGAAGGCCTCTTGAGTTTTCTAATTAGAGTTCAGATCTACGCCCCACAACTTCCCACAACACATTCCCGCCATGTATTGAGAACATCTCCCGATGATGTCATTATCGGGAGATATTCCCAATACACGACAGGGATGTGCTGTGGGATATTGTGGGGCGTCCCCCTGTGGGGCGCAGATGTGAACTCTTCTAATTAATCATTTTTCTATTACAAACAACCAATGCAAACCACAATGTTATCAAATAGTTTCCATAGATTGCAAGGTGCCAATTGGCTGGTTGGCAAGGCCTCTCGACGGTTGTAGCATAAACTTGGGATTGAATCCAACCTACACTAAGGTTGTGGGGGTTATGGGTTTGGGGGATTTACTACCCCTCGGTCGTATCTAGGGGTGGATTCGAGCCAAGTTGAGCTGAATAGTACCAAGCTCGAGCTCGAGCTCGGTTCGAGCCAGAACCTTGAGCTCGAGCTTGGCTCGAGTAAAAAATTCATAAGCTTGAGCTCGATTTTGAGAAAAAAATATTTTATAAAAAAAATTATATATAATTTTTTATTTGATATTAAAAAAATTAAAATAATTTTATTATATATATATTCGAGTTGACTCGTGAGCCCTCTAGTAGGCTCGAGTTTGGCTCATTTAATAATCGAGCCAATGAATTGGGCTCGAGCTCAGTTGAAGCCGAACCGAGCCGAGCTTCTCACGAGTTGAGCTCGAGTAGCTCATGAAAAACTCAGCTCGTTGCCACCCCTAGTTGTCATGAAGCAAAAAAATAAGCACTTATTCAAGAAGTCATAATTTTGAGTTTATTTTTAAGGTAATTTACTAAAACACCCCTTATAGTTCATGAATTTACTAAAACCTATCCTATAGTTTGTATTATACTAAAACATCCCATAAGTTTGCAACCAATTTAACCCACATTCCATTAGATGGAAGTGAAAAATGACACTTTTGGCCTGAACATCCCTCAAACAAACGTAATCTATAGAAAACTAATATGGGAAAGTTGTTATTGTCTCTAGTAAAATGTGGGCAACAAATCTATTAGAGGTGTAAATCAGGTTGTGCCGCCTATGGCCCGACACGACCCGGGCCTGGAATTTTAGGTCCATGGGCCGGCATGGCACAACACAACGGAGCGGGCTGTGCCGCCCACGGCCCGCAGGCTGGCACGGCCCAGCCCAGCCCGCAACTTGGCCTAGCACAGTATGTGGCACGGCTCGACACGACCCATATATATATTTTATATATTATAATATGTAATAGTATATAGTATATAATATATTAATAAAATATATATTTTTTAATTTTATTATACTAATTTATTTAATTATTACATATATAAGCAATTTTATACACAAAAGTCATATAAAATTAAAATTTTAAGTTTTTTTGTCAATTTTTTTAAATAAATAGTTTTGGCTCGGTACACGGCCTGACCTGGCCCAAGGCTCGACCCACGGGCCCACATAGTCCCAGGCCGTGGGCCATGCCAGGCCAACCCCCAAAATTTTCACCAAGAAGGGTGGAATGACTTGTGATGGCCCGTAGGCCAGCACAGCACGGCCTGCACAAAGTGCGACCCCCTGCAGGCCCGACACAACCCACTTTACACCTCTAAAATCTTTTCGATAAAATTTGTTGTCTTCATGAAAAAAGAAGACATGGATTGCTAAGAACCCTAGATGCTACTGTCCTCTCTTCATTTTACAGAACCAAACACTTTTTGATAGATCTGAAAATCAAACCTTATTTATTTGTAAACGCTTGATATGAAGTTTTAGAGGTACTTTTAGAATAAAAAAACATGGGCTCATGGTCTTAAAACATTTTTCACTCTATTTGTATGGTCAAATTACCATTTTTAGACAAAAATACTAATAATTCTTAACATAAAGTCGACTAAGTAAATTGGTTGAAAACTACAAGGGTGTTTTAGTAAAATGCAAATATAAGGAATGTTTTCACTTTTCATAAATCCATGATAGCATTGGGTGTTTTTTTGTAAACAATTATTATTTTTAAGTGAATAAGTGGTTATTTCTTTTGGGACCACCATCTACTCTTATTATTACGATAAACACTTATTTATCAAATAATCACTCACACACATGGAACCTAATCGATGATAATGGAAAGCTCTTTTTGGGCCTTAAAAAATAAAATATACTTTTATGACTTGCATAAGCAAGTATGATACTGTAACTATGGCCAGTGTGTCTGTATCTATCAGAAAAAGTGGCTCTGTGCAGCTTCAGTCCATGTCTTCTCTGCATTTCATCCTGCTCATCCCTCTATTCTGTTTCATCTCTAACATCTCTTCCGTCCAATCCCGAATCAACGTATGGCCAAAACCCCGTAACCTCTCCTGGCTCCACCCACAAGCAACCCTCCTCTCTCCAAGTTTCAGAATCATTTCTCCCAAACATCGATATCTCACCCCCGCCGTTGACCGTTATCGCCATCTCGTCCTCTCTGAACGCCACCGCTCGATCGTCTCCCCCGTCGTTAACCTCACGTTCACTCATCCCTTACAGGCCGTCAAACTCACCGTCACGGACCTGAAAACCCCTCTCCAACATGGCGTAGACGAATCCTACACCCTCACCATCCCCACCGTCGGAGCGGCCAATCTGACGGCGCGGACGGTGTGGGGAGCCATGAGGGGCCTCGAGACGTTCTCGCAACTCGTTTGGGGTGACCCGCCCTGTGTCCCGACGGGTTTGTCCATTTACGACTCGCCGATCTTTGGGCACAGAGGGGTGATGCTTGATACCTCCAGGAACTATTACGGAGTGGAACATATACTGAGGACTATTAGAGCAATGAGTGCCAACAAACTTAATGTATTCCATTGGCACATCACGGATTCACACTCCTTCCCTTTGGTGTTGCCATCGGAGCCGGAGCTCGCCCGGAAAGGGTCGTATGGACCGGACATGCAGTACTCACCGGCGGACGTTAAGCGGATTGTTGAGTACGGTTTCAGGCATGGTGTTAGGGTTTTGCCGGAAATCGATGCCCCTGGTGAGTTTAATCTATCTTCTGATTCTTTTGTCGCTTGTTCAATTTTCTAGTTTTGTTTTTTGCTTCCTATTGGGCCACTACACAGTTGGCGATGGTTTATCTTGATATCAGTAGTTGGATGCATGTTCCACGTTCATTGGTTTATTAATCCCTAGAACATCTTTCTGGTCCCAAACAACCAATCCCCATAAGTATGAAATGCGGTCAAATGAAGTATTAAAAAAATCCAACTGGTTTCGACTGTCAGAGTTTAACCTCACCGTCGGCGGGGGCAGTGGCCTTAGGAGATGGATATATCTCAACTTAAACTCATTCAATGGTGGATTCTTGGATCCTGATAATGTTTGGGCACCTCAAATGTCTATGCATATGATAGGGATCGACAGGTGTCTACAAAGAGACAGAAATGGAAAAAAGATAAATAGTTGGCCACTAACCTATTTGACCAGGTAAACTGGCCATGGCTAAGACATTAGTTCTCATATATATATATATATTTTGCATTTTAACTATTTCCATCTTTAACAACAATAATTCTATTTTTTTTTTCAAACATATATTTTTTTAATATGAAGATTATGCAATGCTTTTTTTTTTTTGGATCATTAACCTCAAAATTTTATTAATAATAGCAAATATTAGTAAGTATAACAGATTAACAGATAAAAGTACATATCATGGCCCCTTGGAGATAAAACCTCTTATTCTCTCCCCCAAAATGCCCCAACTCCCTTACAATTGTGCCCAAAACAAAAAATCTCTCACCACCCCCTGCTTGACTAAGGCATCAGCTACAGAATTCGCACTCCACTTAACCCACCCTAGCCTTACTTTCATGTCTCTAGTTAACCACCTGAGTCTCTTCCTTTCATTATTATACATTCACATTTTCATTCCCTCATCTTGTAACTAGTTGATCACCAATTTTGAATCTTCCTCAACAAATAGCTTGCTAATGATCAATGTTCTTGCTCTTTGTATGCCTTCCATTACTGCCAGCACTTATGCTTTCAATAAGTCTCCTTCCCCAGCCGGCCCAGAATATAGAGCAATGGTTTTGCCCTCCTCATCTCTAAATACACCTCTAATACCAGAAGGTCATGGATTTCCCAAGCTACTACCATCAAAATTGAGTTTAGTAAATCCTCTATCCAGTAGGAACCAATGGTGATTAATGACAGTCTTATGAACAGAAGAATCCACACCTGCCTTCCAGTTCCTTAGCAAATCAGTTGCTGAAACACATGAGAAACCTTCCAAGGACTTTAACCAATGCACCACTTCTTAATCGTTTCAATTACATCTTCTTTATTTCTTTCTTTTCCCAAGAAAACCCTTGAATTCCTCTCCTCCCAAATCGTCCGAAATATAGAAGTTCTTAGACATCTCCACATTATTCTCCCCCTCTTTTTTGGCCATAACAAAGTAGTTGTATCAAACATGCTTTATACATTCACCGTAGGATTCCGCCTGCACCCAAACAAAGAGAAGCACCATTCTCAAATAAAAGTAATAAAGGAACAAGAAATAAATAAGGGGTAGCAACTCTCACCATCAGCCTTACATAACACACATCAATGAGGGGATAAACACCAACTTGGCTGCGAGCTGAGCTTCAGTCAGTGCAAGACCCTTTTGAACACCCTTTACAGCCTTGTATTGAGAATATGTCCATACTTATGTGATTTATTTCATGAGGAGATATTCCCAATGCAAAGTTGGGAGAGGCTGTTCGAATGGTGTAAGCACTAACTTGCATTGACTGAAGTGGATCTCCTTGGCTGCTTTCTTTGAAGTAGGTCAAGGGTGTTGGTCTTTCCATGTACAACTTTCCAACAAAACACAGCAACCCTTGGTGGAATAGGTTTGCACCGCACCTCTTTCACTGGAAAAGAATGCATAGTATTAGAGGAAGGCTGTAACAAGGTTTTGAAGAAGAAGCACAAGAGAAGGAACCAGAAGATGTACAAGTCAAAATTCGATTATCAGGTATAGATGGCTCAAGGAACACTCCCTCCAACAAATGCAACAAGTTAAGCACACTTGGGAACTTCAAATCTCTGATACCCCTTCTGAAACTCAAATTCCAGTTGACCCCATTGTTTGAAGATGACTGGACAAGGAACTTGGATATTGGCTCTTTTTTGAAACTTGATAATGCATATAGAGAGAGGGAAATTGGTCCTTTAGGGGGGAAGTCCCCAACCAGACATGTTCCTAGAATTTTATGCTATTACCATCACAAAGATTGTACTTGATAAAAGGGAGGAACATAGGTAAGATTCCATCCATTGTCCAAGAGCCCATGAATGCTCACTATAAACTTTGTCCACAATTTATCCCTATCTTGAGGCAATCTTCATAGCCACTTCTCTAATAGAGCTATGTTCCTTGTCTGTATATTCCTAAACTTGGCCCCCTTCATTTTTATTTCTACACACAACCTCCCAACTTATTATGTGATCTCTCCTTTCCTTCTTCGGCTCCCACAAAAAATCCCTCATCTTTTCTATATTTTTGCAAATTTCCTATAAATTTTATATTTTTTGTATATTTTTATTTTTGTTATTTAAATTACATTACATCATAAAGTTGACTTGTTTGATTGGGATGGAAATGCAATTCTAAACAATTTTTTGAACATTGGTTTTTATCCCATAATCAAATCAACTGGTGAGATTGCTTGGCCTATCATTGATCATGATTCTAGGTCCATTTACCACCAAACATATTTGCTTGCAAAAAATCATTTTGACCCGATTAGCAACATGGTGACCTAGCTAATTGTACCATTGAACCATTTGGCCCAGTTAGCGGGTTCACTGGTTAGACATTAGTTCTCTTTTTTTTCCCCCTAATTTTTGTATTCCATTTCCATCGCTAGTGGAAATAATTCTTTTTATCACACATATATCATATATTTTTTTTAATGTAACGAATATTTAATATTATAGATGCATCCCAATTTTTTTCTATAAATTTCTATATTTTCTAGAATTTCATGCATATTAGTTTATCACATTATGCCACTATGGGTTGATTTTAGAAAACTGCTAACCCACCACCTAGATGGAAAAAATGGTTCATTTTTATGCTTTTCAGTTGATTTTCAATTTTTTATTCCATTTCCATCATAAAAAAAAAGTAAAACTTAGTTTCACATCGTGGTTGACCCATTTGACTTGGAAGATTGGACCCTTGATCCACCACCTACATAAGAAATTGGTTTAAAGTTTTAGATTTTGTATTTCATTTACATCACTAATAAAAATAATTCTTGTTTATCACACTTATTTTTGTTTAATATGATTAATATATAATATTAGAGATGCCCCTGGGGTTATTTTATATTTTCTGGTATTTCAATCATTTGTATTTTTCTATTTTAAAAATTTTATTTTTTAACTATGGCATCATTGGTTGACCCATTTGACGTAAATGGTTGAACCACTGAACCACCACCTAGATAGTAAAATGTCTTCATTTTTGGCCGGTTTTAGATTTTATATTCCATTTACATCACTAACAAAAATACTTTTCATTTATCATACTTATTTTTGTTTAATATGGTGAATATATTATATTATAGATGTACCCAGAATTTTCTACAAATTTCCTTTGTTTTCTGTACTTCTTTATATTTTATATCTATTTAAAAAATATTATTTAATTGTGGCATCATGGGGTGATCAATTTGAACCAAATGGTTGAACTACTTACCCATCACCTAGACAAAAAAAGGTTTCATTTTTGGGTTGATTTTAGAATTATAGGTTTAGTTTTCATATTATTAAAATTAGCGAATGATTTTAAATAGTGGAATTTAATGATAGGGAAACAAAAGTATCATAGATGTGGGATTGAAGGAGAATTGAATGAACTGAATTGTAGTATTAAAATTATGTTATTTTCCCTCACAATAGAAAGGGACCAAATTCAAGAAGAGGGGTATTATAGTAAAAAAGTCCAGAAATCTAAGACCTCATTTGTACTTTCTATAGTAGTATAGATATAGATATATATGTTCTGGTTATAACTCATAACATGTTTTTCTTCAACCAGTGAAACTGACTTTTTTTTCCCTCGTGGAAGTGTTGGGATATGCTAAGGAATTATGAATTGCAGGGCACACTGGATCATGGGTTGAAGCTTACCCAGAAATTGTCACATGTGCGAATATGTTCTGGTGGCCGGATGGGACAGACTGGGCTGACAGGTTTGCATCGGAGCCAGGAACGGGTCACTTGAACCCCTTGAATCCCAAGACCTATGAAGTTCTCCATAATGTCATTCATGATGTTGCCTCATTATTTCCAGAACCTTTTTACCATGCGGGTGCTGATGAAATCATCCCTGGTTGTTGGAGGGCTGATAAGAAAATCCAAGCCTTCCTTTCTAATGGTGGGACTCTTAGTCAGCTTCTAGAAACATTCATTAATTCCACTTTTCCTTTCATTGTTTCCCTCAATCGTACAGTTGTGTATTGGGAGGATGTCCTATTAGATGATAATGTTAAGGTGAACCCCTCAATTCTCTCCCCAGAGAAGACTATTTTGCACACATGGAACAATGGCCCCAACAATACCAAGCGTATTGTGTCTGCTGGATATCGGGTGGTTGTGTCATCATCAGATTTCTATTACTTAGATTGTGGGCATGGTAATTTTCTTGGGAATGACAGTCGATTTGACCGGCAGATAAGTGATGAGCCGGGAAAACCATTTAATTATGATGGTGGTGAAGGTGGCTCATGGTGTGGACCATTCAAGACATGGCAAAGGATTTATGATTATGATATAACATATGGGCTGACTGAGGAAGAGGCAAGGCTAGTTTTAGGAGGTGAGGTGGCACTTTGGTCGGAACAAGCAGATCCAACAGTATTGGATGCTCGGATATGGCCTAGGGCTTCGGCAATGGCAGAGACTTTATGGTCAGGGAATCGGGATGAGACAGGGAAGAAGCGATATGCAGAGGCCACTGATAGATTGAATGAGTGGCGTTATAGAATGGTTTCTAGGGGAATTGGAGCTGAACCAATGCAACCCCTTTGGTGTGTTACACACCCAGGCATGTGCAACATGGTTCAATGACTTTATCAACAACAATTCAACAGAAAGATATCTTTTTTGTATGAATAGGGAATTAGCGATAATGGAAAATAAACTAAGATATCTTCTTTTGAATGGGGATAATGGAAAATAAACTGAGTTGTAATAGCTGTTACTTGTTTGAGTTCAATGAATTCTGCAAAAGGCTGGCCTTCGCTTATTTGTTCTGTTACACTATAAAACTGAGCTTGCTTTCCCTCAAGAATTTGTTACTTTCCATCAGGCTTCAGGTAATGTAGGTTCTGGTTCATCATTGCTTACTTTTTTTGTCAGTAAGATGAGGAGTGAATTCATTAAATATTTAAATAGAGAAAAAGCATTACAAGACAGAATGTGGCCCCTGGTGGGCTAACCTACCCATCAAGCCTATCCATCATTACATTAAATAACTATGCAGATTAAACTGTATTGATCAGCCCCCAGAACAGAACAGTTCTATTGACCCTCATTGAGGCTAGACCATCAGCCAGAGCACTAGCAGATTACACTGTATTGATCTTAGTCTCCATACTCCTTTCTTATTTCCATTCAACCGGTCTATGACCACCTTGAAGTCACTTTCTATTAATGTATTCCTGAAATTTGTTGCTTTAGTCAGCTTTAGTCCAGTTAGGATTGCCTTCATCTCTGCTGTCATTGAGTCTCTCACTTCTATTTGACCTGAGTATACTGCAAGGATGATCCTAGCTTCATTTCTGAACACTCCCCCAACACCCAAAGGGCCCGGGTTGCCTCTATTGCATCCATTCGAATTCAACTTATCCAATTTTGCTGTGGCAGTTTCAAGATGCAAGTCTGAGCTGTCCTTGATGCAGAAGAATAGGCTGCAATTTGCTGCCAGTTTCTGAGGATATCATCCACTGAAAAGTCATTAAAAATTCTTAGGGTTTTAACCCAATGGACACTTTCACCTACATGTTTTCAGTGATTGTGTCAGGTCCGCTCTGCTTGTCATTTGAAAATTCTGTTATTTCTCTCCAACCATAAGCACCGAATGGTGGCACAGCCCTTAAGCATCTCCATAAAACTATACCTCTCTTCTTTGGGGGTTCAAAAACACTTGGGTTAAAAAGTTCTGCTAGCCGCGGAGGAGGATTCCACCTGCAGCCAAACAAAGAAAAGAGAGACTTCCAAATACTAGAAGCAAATTTGCAGGAGATTAGCAAGTTATGGGCCAATTCTCCATCTTCTAAGCAAAAGCCACAAACATGAGGTGAGAGGCAACACCATGGCTTCTTTTCTGCAGCATATCATGAGTATTTATTTTTCCATAGAAGGCTTCCTAAGAGAAAGCTCTAATTTGGGGGGAACAGGACCCATCTAAATGGATTTAACAGCCCCATTACCCTGAAACGGGTTCTGGTAAGAAGCGTAGGTGTAGGAGCCATAGGAATTTAAAAACCAAACTCTATAATCAGAGCCAGAATTGGAAATAAAAACCCCTTTCAGCAAATCCAACAATGAGGGGACCTCTTACAGTTCAGAATCCCTTAACCCTCTTCTCAAACCTAATTCCCAATCCACCCCTTGTGCAGAAAATGAAGAACAACGGGTTATGGTTTTATTCTTGTACACAGCCCTCTACAAGCATCATACCTTATATATTGTAGGAATAAAGGATTGCAAAGATGGCTTTCCAAGAGTGGCTTTAGCATGCAGGGTAGTATCCCCAACCATTTGTAGTGGTTCCATGTATGCTCTTGATTACCTCGTGCCAGAGTCTGTTTGAGTCCTCAGGAAACTTCCATAACCATTTCCTAAGAGAAATGTTTTGAACTTAATCCTCCCTAAACCTAAACGTAAACCTCCTTCCTCCTTGCTCCTACCAACCACATCCCAGTTGACAATTTCATCATTGCTTACTTGCATACTTTGTTTTGACAATCACAACTGATCATCAGACTGTAAAAGAGAATGTACTCTTTCCAATTTAGAGGCAATCATGCAAATAGCTATTTTTTTGATCTACTATTTCCAGCTCGTTGCTTTGACACCCCATGAATTCTAACAAAGACCCCGCACTACAAAGGTTTTTTTGATCTACTATTTTTCCTCTCTACTTTTTCTTTCTTTCTTTCTTTTTCTTGTTCTTTTTTATTTTATGTGGAGGACCACTTAATGGAATGATAAGAAAACATGGTGGATTGTTAGTCCAATGGATGGTTATAAACTTATAATATAATTGTGGAGAATATTTGGTAGTGGTGTACTATCCATGAAGTTTGTTTGTTTGAATCTGTTGCGCACTTGCCCCAATCACTTGATGCTTGTTATTTTCTTTTCTAGTGGTTAAAAGAAGATAAAAATATGCATCTATCTGGCTGTTAAACCATGTAAACTGGCCCAAGATGGTTTGAGTTTCAGAAGAATGTTAGACTTGAAATCATCTCTTCTAATGAAGCTCTTATGGAGACTTACTGAAGGTGAAAAGCAGGGATTTCCACTTAAGAAATAATCTAATGCTGCTATAGTGTCTTGTTTAAGAAATAATTTCTATTGGCAGTAATATCCATCCAAAACTTTTAAATTTTAGGTAACCTGTGTTGGTATCAAACTTTTCCTGAAACAATAATCTTTTAGCTTGTCTCTTCTGTCTAAAAGTTCCAGTCATTCTTCTCATTTTCATCAGCAAACATACATTCCAACACCTTATTACATGGTCCAGCCACTCTTATTGCTAGAACAGATAGTGAACTCTGTTCTGTCTAAAACTCTGTTCTAGCACTTTTTGTATGTTTTTAGGACCTCTCCAGCATTTTTATCTTTCTTGCTAGAACAGATGGTGAACTCTCCAAGTACCCTTCAAGAAGAACCATTAAAGACAACCCACTTAAAAATCACTTCATCTCATCTTTTTTCCCCATTTTTGAAACTTAAAAATGTCCAGCCACTCTTATTATTTTGACATGTTGATAAAAATGTGAGCATGATCCTGAATTAGATAGCCAAGTTGTCTTACTCATGTTAAAATTCTGTAGCCAATCTGTATACATTAATACTATGCTTAATGTGGAACAATACATTCTCTTCCAGTATTTATTTATATGCCTCCCATCCTGTTTATATGGCAACAAACCATTGAAAATTCTTTTGACAGTGAAGAACTACAGTATACTGAAATTTGCGGCATGTCTATGACCATAAGGGAGAGTGGTATTCTCCTTTTGGTTGAGCAACCTGATATTGTTTTCCATTTTTATCCTCTATTGTTTAAATTTCTCATTTTACTCTTATAAGATAATGGGATGTGGACATATAGGCAGGTTAAACAGTCTCAGATGGCACTTATAATGATAGAGACAACTTCATTCGTTTTCTTGAATTGTCTGTTTGCCTGTCCATAGATGGTGTTTTAGGTCTTAATCACTGCACTGAAGTCCACCCCCTTATATCCTATTAATTTGTGGATGTTCTTTTCCTAGCTCTATAGAGCTTGAGAACCCAGAAACAGGAGATTAGATATTCTGCAATGCAAGGTGCCATTTTGTTTAAATAGCTGACAGCAGGAACAACTCTTTGTTCTATCTAGAACTGTCTTGTATTACATTTACTAGAAACCTTAACTCTTGCTTCTTGGTTTCATATCTGTTTTTTTTGGCTCTGAATTATGGGTGCGTGTAATTCCGGTTTCATATCTGGTTTTTACATGGTCCAACCTCCAGTCCAATCCAATATGTTCTAAGTTGGACAGGTTTATCTTTTCGACAGACTGGGAAGAACATTGGGGGAATCTAACTTCTAGGACATTCTCTATACTTACTTTAGATCATTGGCCCAAGGAAGATTTGCGAAGTGAGGGACCCACCCCATTCAGGTTTGAGAACATGTGGCTGCTCCACTCGGGTTTTACCAAGAAAATTAGAGAGTGGTGGGAGCAATGCAATCCCTCAGTGCTTTAGGAAGGTATGAGATTCCGTAAGAAGCTCCAATACTTGAAGTTGAAGATTAAAGAGTGGAACATGTTGGAGTTTGGAAGACTAGAAGAAAGAAAACAAGCCCTAGTTGAAAAGATTGAGGAGTTGGACTTGAAGGAAGAAAGAGGCTCCTTTGGAGAAGTAGACAAGGAGCAAAGATGGGGTTTGAGGAAACAAATGGAGGATATTTTGCATAAGGAGGAAATAAGTTGGAAACAAAAATCTCGATGTAAATGATTAAAGGAGGGGGATAGGAATACTAGATTCTTCCACATGGTGGCAAATGGCAGAAGAAGAAAGAATTTCATATCAAGACTGGAGGTTGAGGGGACAACAATATCACATCCAGTAGAGATAGCAGATGAGGCATTTGTAGACCATTTCAGATCTATCTTTAGAAGGCCTTTTAATGAGAGGGTGTGGTTAGAGGGATTAGAGTGGACAAACATAGGGGCAGAGAATAAGGAGTGGTTAGAAAGGGAGTTTGAGGTGGAGGAAATAAAGGAAGCTGTTTTCTCTATGGATACGATGAAAGCTCCAGGTCCAGATGGGTTCACAGTGGCTTTCTATCAGAATTGTTGGGAAATCTTAGAACATGATCTAAAGCAAGTGTTTCATGAATTTCACGGGGGTAGGGGGGAGTAGTTAATCCGGGGTTGAACTCAACCTTCATTGCTTTGGTCCCAAAGAAGAGAGATGCATTACACCCGAAAGACTTTAGACCAATAAGCCTGGTTAATAGTCTGTACAAGGTAATTGCGAAAGTGTTGTCTCTCAGGATTAAGCAAGTTCTCCCTACTATTGTTGCCCCAAATCAAGGAGCCTTTGTGAAGGGAAGACAAATTTCTTATCAAATCCTAGTTGCAAATGAGTGTGTGGAGAACTTCAAAAAGACCAAAAAGGAAAGGAGTGGTTTTCAAATTGGACCTAGAAAAGGCATATGACTTGGTTGATTGGTCTTTCTTGATAGAAGTGTTGGTTAACTTTGGATTTGGGGACAAATGGTGTAAATGGGTTTTGGGATGCATTAGGAGTTGTCACTACTCAGTGTTGGTAAATGGTACAATGGTGGATTTCTTCCCAGCTTTGAGAGGAATAAGACAAGGAGACCCACTCTCCCCCCTTTTGTTCATCTTGATTGCAGATGTTTTAGGAAAACTGATTCATAGAGCTGACTCAGTAAGTTTAATAAGGGGTTGGAGGGTAGGAAGGGAGGAGATACCACCTACACACTTGCAATTTGCAGATGACACAATACTTTTTTGTGAAGGTGGGAACAGGAGTTGAATTAGGAACTTGAAATTGGTAATATAATTGTTTGAGCAAGTGCCAAATCTTAAGATAAACTTGGAGAAAAGTTGTATAATGGGAGTGAATGTGGAGGGAAAGGAGATTAGGGAGTATGCAGATACTCTAGGGTGTACAATCTTGGAGTGGCCTGTACAGTACTTAGGCCTTCCCCTAGGAGATAACCCCAGGAAAGGAAGCTTATGGATTTTGGTAGTGGAAGGATTTGAGAAAAGACTTGCTTATTGGAAGTCTCTTTGGGAGGCAAGATCACAGGACCACATTGATTAGGTCTACCCTAGCTAATCTACTTGTCTATTTTCTGTCAGTTTTCAAGATCCCAATAGAGGTCTCTAACAAACTGGAAAAAGCTGATGAGGGACTTTTTGTGGGAGCCGGGAGAGGAAAAGAGGGATCATAGGGTGGGGTGGGAAGTGGTTACTAGAAGCAAGAAGCAAGGATGTCTTGGAATTGGAAACATAAGAAAAAGAAATATGGCTTTATTGGGGAAGTGGTTATGGAGGTTCCCTTTAGAGAAGGATAAGTTGCGGGCTAAGATAGTGGTTAGCATTCATGGTCGGGAGGACAATGGGTGGGACCCTGAAATTCTGGCAAGGACTACAAGTGCTTCTCCGTGGAAAGCCATCCACATGACCTTCTACCAGTTTTCTCCCCTTGGGTCAGGTATGATTTGAACTCAAGAAACCTCATTAAATTTTGGGAACAAACTTGGGGTGGGGGACTCTCCCTTAATGTACCAATTCCCTTCTTTGTATGCTCTCTCTGACCTGAAAAATGAGACCATTTCTTCCTTCCTAGTTCCTTCTAATTCTGCCTCAGGGTTTGAGTGGAATTTGGGACTGAGAAGGTCTGTCAGGGATACAGATTTGGGTAACATTTCAAACCTTTTGGCCATTCTTGAAAATGTTTTCTTGGACCCTTCAAAGGAAGACAACAGATTTTGGACTCCTCACACTCGGGCTCTTTCTCTTGTACATCTCTGTTCAAAACTTCAACTCAACAACCTGCTCTTCCTGGTTTTTCTTTCCCTGTTAAGAGGTCTGGTGCAAGCCCATTCCTCCTCGGGTTGGGAGTTTTTGTTGGGAAACTTTCCTGGAAAGAATCAACACAAGTGAAATGCCTGGTTACCACCTTTTGGTATCTTGCCACTATGCTAAGACTGTACGGGAGTGGGTTTTCTCACTTTTTGGGTGTACCTGGAACCCCCCCAATGAATGTACAAAGTTTGTTTAACCCTTCTTCTTCAGCTGGCCAATGAAAAAAGGTAGAATCATGTGGAGGTGTTTGAGGGCTGTGGTGTGGTGGACCTTATGGGAAGAAAGAAACTCAAGAAAAAGGGTTGACCCTTCTTCTTCAGCTGGYCAATGAAAAGAGGTAGAATCATGTGGAGGTGTTTGAGGGCTGTGGTGTGTTGGACCTTATGGGAAGAAAGAAACTCAAGAATTTTTTCAGATCAGGAAAAAACATTGAGAACCTAATAGAGTTGATTCACATTATGGTGGCACATTGGCTGAAATCTCTGGAATTATTCAGACTTCACCGTGGGTGACCTGTTGAGAAGTTGGAAAGAGATAGCATAGCAAGCTCTGCGCAGGTTAAAAGGGACACAAGTCCCTCTTGGATACCTCCCCCCTCGGGCTTCCTAAAACTGAATTTTGATGGCAGCAGCCTTGGGAACCCAGGTTTGTCAGGTATTGAGGGAGTATTCAGGAATGAAGAGGGGATTGTTTCAGCTATATACTCTGGCCCTATTGGAGAGGGTGACTCTCTAAGGGCTGAGATCTTGGTGGCATTGGAGGGAGTTAAAAGAGCCAGGGAGCTGAACATTAGGAGACTGATAATTGAAGAGGACTCAGAGGTAGTGGTAAGCTGGCTTAAGGAAGATCTGCTAATTCATTTGCGGATGGGTTAGCAAAGCAAGGGGTGATTAGGGATTCTTTGTTTTGGGCTCATTTCTAATCCTGCAATTTTGTTTTGTTGATTAAAGGGAGTTAAGATAGCTTACCTCCCTCTGTTTGTATGTATACTTCTTCTTTAATATTAATGAAATTCATTGTTATTGATAAAAAAATAATCATCGACAAGTATTCTGTTTATTTGGCTTCTCTCTGCTCGACTGAAATATTCAATTTCAGTTATAATTTAACTTGGAAACAATTAAATTTCTGCTTATTTTGTGTTTATTCATGGATACCTGGTTGAATACAAGATTACTATTTATTCTTAGTATCTGCAAAGGTATAGCTATGTCCATACAAATATCTCTTGCTACAAGCATGTCATCATTGCTTGTAATGAGCATTTCCAGGTTTAAAACCAATGAAAGGAAGCTCAGATGAAATAATAGGAAGCTTTAGTCATCATAGCTCAAGAGCTCTCAAGACCCCCACAAAGTGTGCTGGTTCTATAGCACATACACCAAAGTGATCAAAGAGTGACACATGGAGGCCAGAGATCAAAGAAACTGTAATGGTAAGATATTTCTCCTATGGCATTCCTCACTTTTTTTTGCCCTTTTACTAAAAACAAGATTTTCACAGTTTGATTTGTTGCTTCTCTATCTCAAGATTTAAGTAAATTTTTGTTTTTTTTTTTCTTTTTTGACAATTACCAATTAATTAAGCCTTCCTAGTGAAGGTGGTTAATAAATACACAAACAATTTATATACTTCTAGTGCTATTTCTTTTAGTTAAGGACATCTCAGAAGGTCCCACCATCCATCTCAAACTCAGATATTTATCAGGGATTAAAGTTGGCTCAGATTGAGGCCTGGCCTGAGAAGTCCACAGGGAGTACGCCCATGTTAAATTGTTTTGACAATCCTAACCTTGTCTAATCAGACTCCCAATCTCTGCAGTGGCAAGTGAACCCTATGCTTCCTGTGCCAAGACCAACCACCATTCTGGACATCACAAGTCCTGTGCTTTGGGTGTTGTTACAGGTTCTATTTCAGAATGTTGTTATACAAAGAATGCATTTCCTCTTACCAATAAAAGGAGAATAGTGACTTGGTGCCAAATCATGTGTGGCAAAGGATCAAATTCATTTTTATCCCCTCTGGGGAGAAAAAAGATAAGATGATTTGGAGGCTCAATACAAAAGGTAATTACAGTACAAAATCAGCATACTATGCCAAGGCCAACTCAAACCTCAATTCAGGGGAAACTTTTAAGTGGAATTCCAAAGTTTGGAATCTTAACTGTCCTCCTAAACTGAGAGTGTTCATTTTCTTCTTCTAAATAATAGTCTGCCTTTAAAGGTTCTATTAAGGAATAGGGGTATGAATATTGATGGTTCTTGCAATTGATGTGGAGAAGTAGAGGGTAGTACTCATATTTTTAAGTTTTGCAACTATGCAAAACAAATTGGATGGCAGTCGCACCAAATATTGAGGGTCCTGATGAGCGTGACCAAATCAATGAGGGAGTGGGAAAGAATTTCAGAAAATAATAACACAGAATGTGAGAACAAAATGGAGAAAATTTTGTATATTTATGGTTTCCTTGGAAGAGCAGAAATCAAAAATTTTTGATGACACTGATGTACCTTCCCCTTTAATCCTTGAGCGGGCTGAATACCTTTCCAGAGAATATTAAAGTTTTGAATAATGACAATTTGAATGAAAAGAACAAAGCGTGGAGTGGTGGGAAAGAATATTGAGGGTCCTGATGAGCGTGACCAATCAATGAGGGAGTGGTGGGAAAGAATTTCAGAAAATAATAACACAGAATGTGAGAACAAAATGGAGAAAATTTTGTATATTTATGGTTTCCTTGGAAGAGCAGAAATCAAAAATTTTTGATGACACTGATGTACCTTCCCCTTTAATCCTTGAGCGGGCYGAATACCTTTCCAGAGAATATTAAAGTTTTGAATAATGACAATTTGAATGAAAAGAACAAAGCGTGGAGACCTATTGTTTGGAAAAGTCCTAACAACAATACTATAAAAATTAATTTCGATGCATTGTGCATCAGTGGAGGAAATTGCTCAGTAGCAACTATTGCTAGAAACAGCTTTGGTGAAGTTATTGATATTAAAGCTTATTATTTAGGTCATGCTTCAATCAACATGGCTGAAGGGGCTTCTTTGGAAGCTCACTCAACTTTAGGGAGTACCCCATAATCATTGAAGGTGATTCAAAGCTCGTCATCTCCTGCCTTCAGAATGCAATGGATCCTCCATGAAATATAAAAAGCATGATTGAAGACTGTTTGGAGTTGAAGGCTCATTTCGAGAAGGGTGTTGTCTATCGGCATGTATACCGCGAAGTGGATCAAGGCTGCAGATTGTTAGCTCATAAAGCTCTTTCTAGTAGCCTAGGGTATCTGAATTTAAATCTCCAGGACCTCCCTTGATCCTTGGCGTGTATATTTGTGATAGTGATTTCTGGGGACGTGCTACGTAACCCCTTCTGCTTTATCAAAAAAAAAAAAGGAATATATTTTGTGGTCATATAAAGAATGTTGGAGGTTTCCTTGCATGTGTCTTGGGGCCATTACCCAATGTTAGTCTCAGCTGTCCAGGGTTTTGGGAGAGGTGGACTGGATATGGACCTAAGCTTTAGCCTTTTTTTTATTGATAAAAAAAATCTCTGGTATTTTTCACACATATCAACAAATTGGATGCTATCAGATTTTTTTTGTTCATGTATGAATTTATCATTTATGTTTCTAATCATTTCCGAAGTATCAACTTTAGAAAAGCATGGTGTCAGTTCAGAGTTCATTGTCGTCTTGAGCTATGATTGGTGATATTTTAGGGTGCCTTTTTATTTTTTTCTGGTTCAGTAGTGAGTAGTTGAAGTTACTGAACTAAATTTCTTATTCCTGAAGCGCATTTAGTCAACAATTCTTTTTATATCAATCTAGATGAAAATTTTCTAAATCTATGGTGGAGTTCGAAATATTGTTCAGGATGCATGGAGGAATGAGGTGGAAGATACATGTGAGGTTTCTTCCTACGTTGATTTGTTCTTAGCAGGAGATTTTTTTTTTTAATCAGCAGAAAAGGAATTTTATTAATGAACGATTTGGAATTACAAGGTCTGCGTGTGAGTTTTACTCCAAATCAGATTTGCCCAAAACATTTGCTGTCTCACAGCCCCTTTTTTGGCCAGAGAATCTGCCATTCAATTTGCTGTTCTTACCTACTTAAAGGAAACATTCAGTTCCCTTGTTAGGCTTACAATCTCCCTGAATTTATACCTGAATACCCAAGGAATCTGGGAGCTATTTCTAATCCATGAGATGACTACTTGGGAATCCCTTTCCACCTCTAGATTGTGGAAGCCCAGTTGTTTCGCAAGCCTTAACCCCTATAGTAGACTAACCAGTTCTGCTCTCAATGCATTGCTATGCTCCCAAGGGTTCTTAGCAGGAGAATTATACAAAATATTGCAAGACTTTGTCAAGGGGATGTAGAAGCTTGACGACTCCCCCACCGGGGGGGGGGCTATGCTCATTGCAGAACCACATAGCTTATTTTCCAATGAGGAGTCATGGTTTCCAAACTATGGAAAGGATGCACATTTCTGTTTGCTTTAATGGACAATTATTATTTTAACTTCTATCATAATCCCTTTTATGAGTTCATTATAGTTACATTGAGGCACTTGTATTGTATCTTCTTATGCAAAGGTAATGATTTCTTTGCCTGAGGAATATGGTGACAATTTCTATAACATATACTTATTTTGTATTTGCATTTGTTATAATTAGTGTATTTGGTATGCATAGTGGCGCTTTGCCTAAACATCTGCATGTCATGAATTTCATATACTGCAATTTGTCTCTTGATATAAAGCAGTGTGACATAAACTCCTTGCATATTGTTCACTTATATTCACAAATTTCAAGCAGGAAGTTGAGGAGCATCCCTGATATCTTCTCGGCCTTGTAGGTCTTCAGGCAGCAATTAATCAGTCATGAGCCTATGATGCTTCATATTAAGAACTAAAAGCAACGTTGGTATGGAAGACCTTTTGGTAGACCATGTGAGAGACTCCTAAGGTGAAATCATTTTGATGGTTTCTGGACTGCATGCTTTCGAATCCAGAAGCAAATTGACTGATGGAGAAAAGAGGAGGTTGTACAGTTGTATCTGTGTTTCCAAACACCAAACGTAAGCTTCAGTCCACAAGATCAAGATCATGGGATTTTCTGGGAATGCTTCAAACAGTAAAGAGGAACAATGAAATTGAGAGTAGGTGCAAGGTCCTACCATATTGGAGTCAAAATTCCCAACCAATCTCTAGCAGATATCGATGGGCATGGAACACATCTACTGTTGCAGGTTCACCAGCCAACCCTGCCGGCCTCTGTCGATGGGCAAGGAGCATACACAAGCTCAACTTGGTGTAATAGCAATGGTGTCATTGTATTCCCTCATAGCCAGGTGGACTCCATTAAAATGGAGTATCACCAGTGGCACATTCCCCTCTCTCTCTCTCTCTCTCCTCCCCCAACTTCCCCTCACTCTTTCTTTTTTACTCTTCCTCCTCTTCTTGGTTTTAGAACCACAAGTGCACCAGGACATCAGGATCGTGAATGACACAACCTAATTTGCTCATAGGGCCTCTTAATATGAAGATGAATATTAGGTGGGATAAATTGAAATTTTAAAATAAATTTATGGGCGTGTGAAATGACCCAAACATAGCTATATCAAACCACAGGGTGTATTTAAATAATTAACACCCGAAAAAGAATACATGTAAGAACAACTTGATTAGTTAAAAATAAATTAAAATTTTGAGAATAAAATGATTTAGTAAAATAAGGAATAAGATGAAGCTTTAGGTAGGTATTCTTCTCTAATCAAGAGCACATATGCAAACAGAGTTTTTCCTTTTTGTCAACTTCGTCATCTATGGGTTTATTATGTAGAATTACAAATCATAGAAATGATGTTATTTTGGGCTTATAAGAAAAAAAAAACATATTTCTAGCTCCTGTCAAAATTGAGAAAATGGCTTTATCATAGAATATACCATCATGATTGGCCAGTAACACCAAAATAACGAACCATTTGCGGCATCATTTGGATAAGATTTGGCTTTTGAACTTTTCAAAGTCCAAAGTAGGAAGCTAGATTTTAGCTTTCTACTTTGGACTTTTGGCTATGGAACCTGTTTGGTAAAATTTTCTTCCGAAGCATGTTTTTTGAAGTAAAAGCCCAAAATGGGTGTTGGGTAACCCCAGATTACTTTTCGACTTCTATATACATGTGGCACCACTATATTGGGCATAATTAAATTGTAGTATTTCGACCTATCAATCCCTATTGATTATCATAAAAGACTTCATATTTTCCCTTACAACACTCTCATTCTAGATATAATAGGTTCAGCCGTTCAGCATGGCAATAAATAATATAACAGTCCCATTCAAATAAAATATAGCAGACCCTTAAACTTCTGTAGGTTTAGCATGGACAAAGGAAAAATAGTTCCTATCAATCAAGAAATAACAATATATAACAGTTTCATTCAAGTCAAAGGTTTAATAGGTCCAAGTCAAGCTATATTAGGTTCAGCATGGGGGAGATGAATTCGGATTAGCTGAATGCATTGGCTGTTCAGTAGGCTGTGGAACCAATGATGAGGTTCCACGCCACTAATAAATTCATGGGCCCTGCTGTGAAAGGTGCGGGCCCTGTGTATTTAAATACTGGTGTGGAACCTTATCATTGGTACCACAACCTGCTGAACACATTGGCTGTTCAGCCAATTGAGATACATTTTTATCTATATGTACACTACTATTAAAAGTGTGTGGATTGGGTTTGGACCCTCCTCCCTGTATTTGAACTTTGAAGGTGGAGCGTGTCAGGTTGGTGGACTGAGTCAGAACCCATATTTAATTTTCTATTATTATTCTTCGTATATAAGCAATAAATAGGTAAAATAACAAGAACAAACATAAAAAAAATTCCAATTATATTTATTTGATTAAATATAAAAACCTCATAAGCTATCAAATATTCTTAACATAAAATTCAACCTAATTCATAAGCTCATATTCCTTCCAACAATATGTGGGTTAGGGAGGATCAGATTTAGCCTAATACCGTATTCTACTAATACTCGCATAGATTGTAAAATCCCAAAACCTGTCCTTACCCCAAAAACCCACCCTGTCAGGGTGGGCACCCACTGGATAGGATAGAAATTATCACCCCTAGTTTTTCCATCTGAAGAGGACACCACTACCAGTTCACCACTCGAAAAAAAATTGGGACATAATTCTTATTCTTCTTTGGGTAATTTGGGTCAATGAATTCCTGCGTTCGGAAGAGCTGCTTCTATGTTATATATGGACAGAGATACAGAGTTGGATCAGTTTATTAAACTTTCCAATGCAACAGTTCTGCTGATTTATTAATTGTTGGCTAAGCATCCATCCACACAATTCACCACTCCATCCACGCTTCAGTAGTTGATTTATAAAACACTTTTGTGAAAAGAAACTTATCCCTTGTCATTTACTAAACCGGTTGCTTCCAAGTAACTGCATGTCTATGTCTTAGCAATGGCACGCTAGAAGCAATTATAGACATGCATTCCACTCGGTGTTTGACATGGAATGAGAAACGCCATTACAAGCATTCTTTCTTAAAAAATGACAAAGAAATCCAAAGGGTAAATTGCTTATACCTCCCAGGAGTTTTCTTTTCATAGATTAGTTATGTACCAATTTTCGGGGTTAGTGATAATTGTTTCCCTTTGAGAGTTTGGTAATTTTAATGGTTTAAAAGCAAAAAATATAGCTCGTAGGGAAATTCTATGATACTGAAAAGGATTTGACAATTTTGATGAAAACCCACCTCATTGGTTACATTGTTTTTTCTCCATATCATGTCTTTCCTGCATCATAGTCAAACCCATAATTCGTGGTTTATCCACTAACAAATTGTCACATCAAAGAATAAAAGAAAGGAGTTTTGAACTTTTGATTGATGAAACTCTTGATAAACAATTTTATTCTTATCAAAAGTTTGGAGAGTTGAGATATCTATCCAACAAAAATTGTTCCAACACAATTCCAACATGGTTTATGCCTGCATATCTTATCATAAGATTGTGACCCACTATCAAGGATTTAAGTATTGATATGATATGTTCGATTGGGGCGTATTGTATCGTGTCAGTCGTACGTATTGATACGATATGACACCGCATTGGTGTGTATCGCATTGTATTAACCGGTATGGGCCGATACAAACGGATACACACACAACTCCAATACTAAAAATGCAACTAACATAATTCAAACCCAAGTTTAAACACTAAGTACTTAGCATCTTAAGCCACTAAGCTACCATTTAATTTATGATTATAAGTGAAATATAATTAATTTTCTTATCTTAATTGTAAACATGTAGTCTAAAGAAATACCATATTAAATATTAATATGTTCAACAATTTTAAGTTAAAATTAAATAGAATAATATTAAAAATTAATATTTATAGTTATAAATAAAATAAAAATTTTACCAATTTTATATTTGTATCAAAAATTGGTTTTCCACTTTCAATAAATTTATACAAATAAAAATATTAATAATAGAATAATTATTTTAGTACTTAAAATTCATACCTTTGTACATGAATATATATATATATATATATATATATATATATATAAATTTACATTAGATAATAACATATTTATTATTTATAAAAATTAAAACTTTTGTTTACAAGATATTCAAGCATACAA